TATTGCAAAGTTTGTATGAGGGCGGTATGAGCGTACCAGCCAACATTTTCGTTGATGAGATCCTGTACTGCCTTTTTGAATACTTTCTGCCATTCATGTTCATGAGATTTCTGTCACACTGCTGCATCTAATGTAAATGTTCAAATTTGACATTGAAAATCAAGAAAGCTTTCAATTTTGGTGATGCACTATGCCCCAAATAAAGAAAATTCTGGATGTTGAAATGAATGCATATGCATTTCAAACAAATGCAAATATGCTTTGTTTCTGAACACTAAATTATACTGCTTTTGATGACAGATGTTATAATACATCTCAATGGGCCAGGTGCTGAGCATTGTACAAGTAATTTTTATGTCTAAGTCCAATCCATATGTACAGTGCATTTGGCCATTATGGTATTACACTTAAAAAAAAAAAACATTAAAAAAACACTTAAACATGATTTTCTTGAAAACTTTCTAAATGTAAATACCTGATGCAATGATTGTGTCTATAACCTAACTTGTGTTTGTTTGTTTTTTACAGAAACTTAAAGAAACCGAAAGTGACAAACTGAGTGTCCAGATTCATGCATATTTAGATAACAAATTTGATGTAGCTCAACTACTTGAGGACTCAGAGACCAAACTTGCAGCACTAGAGAAAGTAGCAGAAATTGAAGAGCAGTTGTCACATGTATGTTGTATTATTTTTTATTATCCTAAAAGCATGAGACAGTCAATGTTATTGGTCAAAAGCAATCACATGTTCGTTTGATAAATATTGTTATAAGTCTCTCTTATCATATTTCTTGCTTCTGACATATTGTTGTGTGTTACTGGCCTGTTACTGTTAAATTGCTGCAGGTAAAAGCAAGGTAGATTACACCTCCCAATTTGTTTCTCCATTGTTGGATAATTTTGATTTCAACTTGTATAGTTTTCATTTTGGCTCACAATTTCACCTTACTTACCACCATGTTTTCATTGGGCTTTAGTCAATAGTATTGTACTCAGTGACCTGGGCCAGGCATTGATTCTAGGTCGAATGATTGACAAATCTGTCTGTTCTTATTACCACCTATCATACATATATCAAATCATCTGCTTGTTTCAATACAGACCACTGAAAGCTTACAAAGGCTGGAGTATGAATCATTAGCTAAAATCGCTGACTTACAAACAAAAAGAAATGATGCAGAGAAAGAATTAGAAATACTCAAGGTATGTTAATATACAGGTATATTTATTCAGATCAATTACCGTCTGATTTAAGTAAAAAAAATACTGAAACATTGAAACAAAATAACTTAGAACATAACCCAAGTATAACCAAGATCTATTTCCCTTGGCTCCAATGAATGAAATCTACACATTAATGAAAAATTACAAGGGACATTCTCTATTTAAATTTATATTTCTCAATATAGCCACACAAGTCGATGCCTTTGCATTTCTACCGTATTTGCTCTATTAGAAGTGTATCTCCAATAGTAATACATATAAACCAAAAATTACATTTCCTGTATCCTGAATTTTTAAAACATAAAAACACTGTGACATGAGCATATGTGCGCTACTAATAGAACTAAAACAGTATTTAGTTAATATTAGTATGTAAGTGAATATAATCCTGAAGAAGTGGTGACTATTTTTTACTTGTACAACTACTAATTTTAGAATAGGATACATGTATTATATTGAACTCCATTCTTACAATTAAACAGTTTCGCTTGCATAATCCTCCTGATCGCCACACTGCTGAACTCAAAGATTTGTTATGATCTTGATAAGCCATACTCAGTATGAATGGTTGCTGTAAAATCTGTATCAGAAGCCATGGTTTCCATTAAAATGGTACAATGCAACAGAGGGAATGCCGTTTCTGTTAGAGCAGCTACACATGAGAAATGATGAATTTTTGGTTGTCAATTGTTTAAAAAGAATTGGTGCAACTTCTATTAGGGATGTGGCTTCTAATGGAGATTTACCAGTACTCACAGTCACCTATGACCACTTGATGCTTTCAGGAGGTAAATACAAATGTAAATAATGAAATAGGAACATTAAGGAAAAAATATGAAGACAAGGAGCTAGAAGTAAAAGAGAGAGAAACTAAACTAACGAAAGAAATTGAAGAACTGAAAAAAAGTGCAACTGGTCAGAAACCAATTATGAATGGGAATGTGACAGAAGTGGATAAATGCAAACCGGTCACAGCAGCAGCACCTCCACCACCACCGCCACCGCCCCCACCACCACCTGTTGGTAAGTAGAATTCAAAGCACATTATATTAGCTATATTCCGCAGTCCACGATCTAATAACTGTTTGGACACTTTTTGCTTTAAATGATTATCATAGTATGGCATGTATGTACAAGGTTTCTCTTTTACATTATCAGTTTAACATCTTCACATGATGTCTTCATCCCAGGGAATGGCCATTCCCTCATAATGCTTGATTTTTTCATTGAATCACACATTGCTGATCATGTACAGCAAACTATTACAAAGTATTTACAAAAGCAGTAGAGGAATATCTATAGAGATCGATATGACCATGATGAACCTATATGATATTACCCGGAAATCATCAAAATAAATCACACATGTAGATTATATGTCACACAGGTGTGATGTTTTTTTATTAGCTTTGCTGTTGACTTTGTCAAGTGGACCTTATCATATCGTCCACATCAACTTTTTACTTTTTTTACTTCTTCTTGAAAACTACAAGCCTGATTCCTTTGATACTTGGTGTATATGTATACCTTAGGTAGACATTACTCAGATTTGTTCATTTCATGATGATATCTTTAATTCTCTAAATTTGGTGAATATTTTTGTTGTTTTTGGTAAAAAGTGATATTTTTTTACCTTATTTTAAAAACCGCAAGTCTGATTGATTTGATATTATACATAAAGGTACTACAATGCTTATTTTGCATTGTACATTGCTAACAGTTGAAGTATTTCAGCTGAGAGGCTGCTTGTTTACATTTTGCAATCATGTGAATGTCTGATTAGCTTGCGGTCTGCTATAACAATGTTACCTACACATTATTTTATTTAAAGGGACATCTTTATGATTGTATATTTAATAACAATAGTTGCGAACAATGTCATTATTAGTCCCTGTTCGAACAAAGTTAAAAAATGGGGACTTATAATTTGGTCTCTGTGTGTCCGTTCGGAGTCATATTTCAGAATCCTTTGGACCGATTCTGTTCATTTTTTGCATGTGCCTAGTACTTTATGTGGGACATATGCACATGAAGTGGTTTAGCAATGTGATTCAAAATGGCTGACTGGTGTGTCTGTTCATCTGTCTGTCCGTCCGTCCATCCATCCAGAGTCATATTTCAGAATCCTTTAAACCGATTCCGTTCATTCTTTGCATGTGCCTAGTACTTTATGTGGGACATATGCACATGCAGTGGTTTAACAATTCAAGCTTAGTAATGGCCGACTGGCAGCCATCTTGTTTTTTTTCATTGCTATGTCTTAAACCGGAGGGGTCGTCACACAACACGTGTTCAAATTTAAGGTAAATAAACAATCTGTTGTATTTGCCACTTGAGACTTAAGTTTCAAAGACATGCTCACGACAAACCCTTCGCTTTAATATGACGAGCTTAAAGAGACCTTGCAAAAATTTAACGGGGACTGTGTCATTTTCAATGACTTGTTTTATATTTGTATATGACATACTAATGCTGACTAGTCGCTCTTACATGCACAAAACATAAACATGTGAGACCATCTATATTCATCGAGTAATGAAGAAACCGCTCCCTGCTTTCAATTAATATACTTTCATTTGTGATTTCTTTTGTAGCACCACCACCTCCTCCTCCTCCTCCACCTCCACCACCATCAATTGGAGCACCTCCACCTCCTCCTCCGCCTCCAGGAGCACCACCGCCACCAGGTGGTATAATGGCTCCACCAGGATGTAAGTAGTATATTTATTTATCTTATCTTGAATGCTCAATGTATTTTCACATTCCATGTTTATGGTGAGATGTTGTTTGATTAGTTACAGGTATTGGGGGAAATTTGAAAGCAGTACAAATTCTCTGTATTTTGCCAAGTGATTGGATTTTAATATTTAGTAAATAAAAAAGTACTAATAAAAATTGGGGTACCCGAACTTCCATGCAAACAATGACTTTGTATTTTATCTTGTAGATCTAAATAATTCTCTGGATGCCCTTTTGAAATGACAATTGGTCCAAAATGCATGCAATGTAAAATACGTGAATGAAGTATATGATCAAAACTAGTTTGTGTTATCAAAGTTTTCGGCTTAAAAAATAGCCAGACACGAAGAATTATTCTCCTGTATCAAAATGATTTTAGTTATGTCCATCATGATGATATGCTTATATTGACCATGAGAAATGTAAAGGATTTTCACCTTTTATAAAAAAAGCCTACTGCATATGGTAATTATTCATAATGCTGTAAATAATTACACATCAATTAATTTGTTTTTTGTTTTTGATGAATAGCTGTTACTATCAAGAGGAGAGTTCAAACCAAATATCGTCTTCCAGCTCTTCATTGGGTGGCTATTAAACCCAATCAGGTTAGAGGAACTGTATTCAGTGAACTGGATGATGATAAAGTTATGCAGGTTGGTGAGACTAACAATACATGTACATTAAAATGTTTTTAACACTTCCTTAATTGTGTGTGGTGTTGCACTAGTTCTTGTCTCCCACACTGATATTTTGTGTAAGCAAACTATATTTTACCGAACACTAATAGTTCGGTGCTTGTTGCATCAAAACCATGAAACTTACAATTCCATTTTTTTTTTGTATTCAGGAAATTGATTTTGGTCATTTTGAAGAGCAGTTTAAGACCAAATCACAGACTACAGGACTTCCAAAACTGAATGGAACGCCCAAAGCCTCAAAAAAAGCACCAAAGAAAGAAACTGTTTCTCTGTTAGAGTCAACAAGATTACAGAATTTATCAATATCTAAACGAAGAATAGCGCCCTCAAACGATGAGATTGTCAGAGCTATTGTTATGTAAGTACAGCTATTATGCAATAAATATTTTGTCACAAGACCAGATTTGGAGTTGTCATTTTAGATTATCTCACAGCAGCATGCCACTTGGATTTCTGAGTACTTGATTAACATGATTGCAATTAGGTACTGTAACCTTGTTATAATGAACATCTTTATAAGAATTTCCTAATAACATACCCACTGTATTATGTGATTCAATGTTCTATATATATATATATATATATAGTGTAGATATGAGAGTCGATTATTCCAAAACAAAAGTGCTCAATACAAAGTATATGTAGAGTGGATAGATATGGTAATAGAGGAATTAAGACACAACTACATGAATATTGAAATTCGACAGCACTGTTTCGTAAAGTACCGGTACAAGTATTACAGTTCCTGATGAGTAAAGTACTTGTACTTACGAATCAGTGCTGTCGAATTTCAATATGAATGTAATAGGTACATGTACCATAGAAGGGTAGATTATGAATGTAGCGTCATTCATACTTGTAATCTGTACTTGTAATTCGTAGCAAACAGATATAAAGACTATTGGTTTAGATTGGGTTACGATTGGGTTTCCATAGAAGTACTGTAATATCTTTTTTTTTCTCAAAGGATGGACTTGAAAAGTCTTCCATTGGATAATGTAGAAATCTTATTAAGATATGTACCAACACCTGAAGAGGTAAGAATTTTGTGAGATATTATTTAGTCAACCAGAGCAAGTTTAAACTGGGATGGCAGATAGTGTTAGTGTGAAAAACTATTTGTTGACCAGCAATCAGGGTGTTCACACCACACGTAAAGCCAAGCTTTGATCCCAAGGTTTCATCAGAGTAACCAAGTGATTTCCGTAGTTGCCAACACATGTGAGCTGCATATACACACAGATATTATTCTTGTGGGAACAAGACTTCTGTATTCTATAGTGCATGATTTAGAAGTATGAACTTTTTCATCACTCTCGCTTCTTTATGTCCAAATTTCAAATAATTACTAGTACTGATATGTAATAGATATACTGTGAGTACCATATGTGATTCCATACTGAGTCAATACTTAGGGCATTTGACATTGTAAATTTATTTATTTTCAGATTGAAGCTTATAAAAAATATGAAAAGGAAAAGAAACCAGTTGATAAACTAACAGAAGAAGATAAATTTATGTTTTCTGTAAGTTCATCCATAATTCTTCAAATCTATTTTTTAACAGATTATGTTCTGCTTTTTGGATCATCCAGTATAAGAAAAAACTCTCATTTGTGGGATCAATGTGAATCTATTTTATATAGAAGATTGTGCCTGATTGGCTACCTAGTCAGACCAATCAGAGAGCAGCTTGTTTGTTGAAAAACATGTCAAATTTTGCCTTGTATATATACTTACCTGGTAGATTCAACTACAAATGTACAATTGTGATAAAAATGTACATAGAATGTATTGTCTCTCTGTATCAGAATTCACTTTATGCCAATGATAACTCAATTCCTGTCAAATTGTATTGGTCAAAATACTTACATTTTATCATGGAGAAACAAGTGTTCTCTCAGGTTTGCGTGTGAATGCAGAAATGGCTTGAACGGCTACAACTAATAATGTGTTAATTTCATTTTTAATTCCTCTTGGTAAATATTCATTTTTATAACTTGTCTATCATTGCAATTGTTATTTGTTACTCAATTAATGTTTTTTTTCTTATTTACAGCTGTGTAAAGTGGAAAGGTTACAACAAAAGCTGAGTATGATGTCATACATCGGAAATTTTGTTGATATAGTTCATAATCTTACACCGGTATGTCAAGATATTATTTACAATTACACCTTGTCAGATGATACTGTACTATTTACATACATGTCTAGTTGCTGTACCGATTATTTGTAAACTCATACCTATAATATGAAGGAGTTGAAGGTGGTGCAATATGCAAGGAAGATCTTGCTAATTGAAGAAGTCACGTAAATTGCGAGATGAACAATGACAAACTCTCATTTCTAGAAATACCAATGCAAATGAGTATGTCAATGAACTAGTTCATCTCGGGCTGTTTGCTAGTGTTCTTACATATTCACAAAGTATGTGTATGTTAGAATATGATTTCATTGTTGAACATGCACATTCAACATTTTTCCAGGGTGATATGACAGTGTGTCCGCCTATATCTTTGTGAAGTAATGTTACTACTCCTGTTTATTCACAGCAATTAGAAGCAGTTATAGCTGCCTCAGGCTCAATAAAGGCTTCTGACAAACTGAAGAAAGTACTTGAGGTATGTACAAGTTCATTTGGTTTAAATGGCATATATACCGTAATTTATAATCCTTATGCACCAAATACTCTGCTATCTATAGTGGACCAAAAGGAGTTTTTGAAATGATACATTGCTAGATAAAGTTATTACCTGAATTTCATAATTTTCTTTAAAGGATTGGCTTTGAGTTGAGGATAAATCAATTTGATTTGAAGAGAATCTTGATGTGGTTGCCATGTCGACAATTTTTTTCAAAGATTCTTCCCCATTGCCAGATAGGGTGATTCATTGAGTGAATAAACTGTTAAAAACTCAATTTTGTCTTTCTTTTCTCAAAGAAACTGAAATCTTGCATGTTTTGTGCATTGTTTTTTTTTTTGTACAATGTTTTTACATATATCTTGTTATTATTTTAAAACTCTTTTTTTGCTGTACTTATCCTATGTAAATCTTTTTACACATAGGCAATAAAGTTATTATTATAAGAAAGGTGAAAATATTCAATGGAGTTTGCACTCCTGGCGTGCCTTCTCTATTTTTATCGTTCGTTATTCATGTAATAGTTATGTTCTGTTTTATTTTTTCAGATCATCCTTGCTTTTGGTAATTATATGAACAGTGGAAAACGAGGGGCTGCGTATGGTTTCAAATTACAGAGTCTTGATATGCTGTTAGAGACTCGATCTACCGATGGTAAAATGAATCTTTTACACTACATTGTTGATGTCATCTCCAATAAGTATCCAGACATTGAAGAGTTCAATTCAGATTTGATTTATTTAGACAAAGCTGTCAGAGGTGAGTACAACAGAGGACAAAATAGTGTGACAGTATTTGCTGACTGTGGGAATGCTTGTCAACAGTGTTACCTCTTAGCCTCACTCGTGACTTCTGCAAGTCTGCACCAAATTAGGGGAACCCTGCTTGTAATGCACATGGGTCATAGATTGTATTGTTCATGTGACTACCGGTACTATGGGTGATGCTTTACACCCCTATGATGGCACTGTCACCAAGATGATTTGTGATGGTAAAATAATTTATGCATTGCAAGCGTCTCTATCTACATGCTGTTTTATCCTCGCTTGTAGAAATTCTGGGTTATGCTTTGCACTGCACATCTTATAAAGACCCTGCCACCAACATGAAATGTGGCGAAAAAAACATAAAAACAACTTTTGCATTCCAAGTGTCTGTAAACTCACTGTGTACATAAAACTGAAATATTTCTTAGAGAAAGCAACAACATATGATCTTTGTAGCTGCAGAGCTGGGCACGTTTCATTGAGAAGCATATTGTGCACTAATCAATAACTCTAGTAGTACAGGTGATATTACATGATGCTAATTCAGTTATTGATACTTACATACTGTAGAATACTTTATTTTCGCTTGGAACTAATTTACGCTATTTTCGCTGAAGGGATGATTCCGTGAAAATAAAATCCAGCGAATGTACTTTTTTTCCTACATCTCACATTAAACTCATGAAAAATCAGTGAAAATAAATTCCATACAAAATGCCCAAAAAGCCTTTTCAGCGAAAATTATTTCCGGCGAAAATAAAGTATTCCACAGTATATTGTTGATATGATTGGTTGGCACAATTAGAAAAGGTCAGCCGATCCTTTCATTGTTGTTTCTGGCTACAACTTTGTTCTTGCATTGTGTATTACTTGCTTAAATGACACCTGACTGAGTTGACCATGGATTTTGACATTATTTGATTGTTCTTATTTTTTTATAGTGAACCTTGATAATATCCAGATAGATATTAAGGATTTGAATAAAGGAATGGCGATGTGTAAGCGGGAATTTAGTAACCGAAAAGATAATATTGTTCTTCAAGATTTCTTGGCAAATTCAGAAGATAAATTGAAAAAATTAGAGATTGACATGAAAAAGGCTCAGGTCAGTGAAGTTTAATGCTTCTCAAATGTTAAGAATTTATTGTCATTGCATTATGATCTTCAGCTTTGCCAATCATTTATTCGGCCTCTCCACTATTCCCTTGGCAGTTTCTGTTCAGCAAGTGTGTTTTGGCATTTCAATATCGTGCCATTTTGTTTTATTTCCATTGTAATATGCTACATCAATTCTGGTTGGCCGCATACATGGTCAAATACAGTCTCATGGTAGAATCTTGCTTGGCTTCTGTGATGTGTTGACTCAGGAACACACAAAATATCAAAGAAACCCGAGAACTTTCAAATTTAACTTCTTGTTTATTCCGCCATTTTCAGTTACACCAATGCACTACTTTTTTCATATCAATACATTCTGGTGATCAGGTGACATATAACACCTTTACAAAAGTATGTATTCTGACACAATTTATAGTCCCAAAAACGTCACAGCTTCATATTAAATATATTTGTATTCATCCTTCTCTCGTCCAGATGTTTGTTTTTAAGAATGCCAACAAATAATATTCTCTGTTTGTTTCAGGAAGCTTACAATCAAGTAGTTGAATACTATGGAGAGAATCCAAAGATGGTTCCACCTAGTACCTTCTTTAACTTCTTTATTAGATTTCAAAATGCTTGTAAGGTAAGAACTTTAAAGTTTGCGCAATATACAGAATATGTCCAGTGCAAGTTAATATCTTGTTGTAAGTTGGCATTATGTAGATGTTATTCCTATCAGGCCAAGAAACACTCTCTCGAGGCAAATGATAGTTTCTTTTTCTTGCTCTCAAATATAAATAATCCAAGCTAAAATTGATGAAATTAGCCATTCCTTGTCAGTTGGTGTGGTGATCACAGAATTTCAGTATGACTGCTGTAACTAACTGTTTTTTTGTTTTGTTTTTTGCAGAAAGCAAAAGCTGATAATGCTCAAAGAAAAAAAGTACAGGTTTGTTGGAATATTTATTGAGTTCAATCATGCATGTTTTATTGTGACACTATACTATCCATTACCCAGGCAATTTCAAAGGTATACATCAACACTGTATCAGTGCAATATCTCCTGGTAGCTTTATGTTGCCAACAACTATACCTGTGTACTAGGTATGGGTCTCTCATATAAACAAAGATGGCGACTTTGACAGTTGTGCAGATCAGCGAGTACAAACTCAGACGTTACCAAGCTTTTTTTAGGTGATTGGAAGGTATTAGGAGTCATCGGTGTTGATTAGTGCAAGTTGAGCCCAGGTCAAATCTCAAACTAGTGATTTCTATTAGAAGTGCGCATTGGATAGTGGGGAAATCAATGTTCATCAACACAAATGTTGCACATGTGTGGCACAACAACCATCGTCTTTTAAAGTTGTATTCATATTTTATAAGTATGTGAAACCCTAAGAACAAGATGAAAATATAAAATGTGTGAAAATGATATGTATTTTATTACAGGAAGTAAAGGCAGCGAAACTAAAACCACAGATGGAGACTAAAAAGAAACAACAGGTGAGTAGAAGCAGATGCATTTGGAAATGTCAAGATAACATATCCAAATGTGTAGAATTTATTCTGGGTAGCAAATTTCATGATTTCTGTATTTTTATAAGAACTTCAGTGTAAAAAATACAAAATG